ATTCTAAGATTTTTGATGTCAAAAAAACACTTGTATTTGGGAGTGATTGAGCAAATCAGTAAAACTCAACAGTACCATAGTGAGGAGAGGGCTCTTAAAACTCTTAGGGATGTGTTGCAACCTACAGTCATTTTTCTCTCTTGCTTGATTATATACTGAAGCATGCCATCAAAACATTTCATTTATTAACTTTTTAGCACAGAAAACATTCAATGAGCACTCACTGTGGGCACACAAACTGCTGTGAGACACAAAGAATCTGACTGCTGGAGATGTATGGTTTAGGGTCCATCAGATTACCATGATATGGCTTAAACGATATGTGGAGAAAAACCCATAGCCCTAATCCCTATATTGGTAAGAGAGAAAAATTTAAACAGAGTGACTCTCATCAACATTGAAAGAACTTAGAAAAAGAACCAGAATGCAAAGGAACACAAAAGAAAAGGAATAATAGATGGAAGGGCAGACGGAAGTTGGAAAATTAAAAAGGAATTATTTGATTAATTAACAAGATGGAGAGTTTTGTTTTTGTTTGTTTTGCTTTTTGCTTATTTGGTTTTTGTTTTTTAGACAAGCCACTAGCATCTTTATTATTTATTTATTTATTTTAAATTTTATTGGAGTATAGTTGATTTACAATGTTGTGTTAGTTTCAGGTGTACAGAAAAGTGATTCAGTTATACATATACATATATTCACTCTTTTTCAGATTCTTTTCCCATATAGTTTATTACAGAATACTGAGCAGAGTTCCCTGTGCTATACAGTAGGTCCTGGTTGATTATCTATTTTATATATAGTAGTGTGTGTATGTTAATCCCAAGGTCCTAGCATTTTTATTATTTAAAAAGAACTCTGCACAAACAAAAGGGTTAGATAGGGGAAACTCTTCAGGACCTAGGGCTTGATAAATAGCTCTTAGAGGATACCCAAAGCACAATCTGTAAAAGAAAAACAATCATTAAATTGGACTTCATCAAAAATTTAAAACTTTTGCCATGCGAAACCTCCTATTAAGGAAATGAAAAGACAAGCTACAGACTGGGAGAATATATTTGCAAATCACATACCTGACAAATATCCCAAATCTAGAATATATAAAGAACTCTAAAATTCAGCAAACTAGGAATAGAGGGAAACTTCCTCAACTTGATAAAGAACATTTATTTAAAAGATCTATAGCTAACATCACACTTAATGGTGAGAAACTAGATACTTTCCCACTAAGATCAGGAACAAGGCAAGCATATCCCCTCTCACCACTCTTATTCAGCATAGTACTGGAAGTCCTAGTTAATGCATTAAGACAAGAAAAGGAAATAAGAGGTTTACAGATTGGGAAGGGAAAAGTACAGCTGTCTGCATTCACAGATGACATGATTATCTCTGTAGACAATTCCAAAGAATCAACAAAAAAATAAAACCACAAAAAAAACAAAAAAAAACCCTTGGAACTAATTAGCAATTATAGCAAGGTTGCAGAATACATGATTAGTATACGAAAGTCAATTGCTTTTTTATATACCAGCAATGAACAATTGGAATTTGAAATTTAAAACATAATGTCACTTACATTAGAACAACAACAACAAAAAAGAAATGACATACTTACGTATAAGACATATACAAGTTCTAAGGAGGAAAATGACAAAACTCTATTGAAGGAAATCAAAGGAGGGCTAAAGAAATGAAGAGATAGTCCCATGTGCATGGATAAGAAGATTCAATATTGTCAAGAAATCAGTGCTTCCCAATTTGATCTATAGACTCAGTGCAATTCAAATCAAAACCCCAGCAATTATTTTGTGAATATCAACAAACTGATTCTAAGGTTTACATGGAAAGGCAAAAGACCCAGAATAGCCAACACAATATTGAAAGAACAAAGTCAGAAGACTGACCAAACCAACTTCAAGACTTACTATAACGTTGTAGTGATAAAGACAGTGTGATGTTGATGAAATAGATCAGTGGAACAGATAAGACAGCCCAGAAATAGCCTCACACAAATATATTCAACTGATCTTTGACAAAGGGGAAAAGGCAATTCAATGGATAAAGGAGAGTCCTGTCAACAAATGGTGCAGAAAAAAATGGACATCTACATGCAGAACTATGAGTCTAGATACAGACCTATATCTTTCACAAAAATTAACTCAAATGGATAATAGACCCAAATGTAAAATGCAAACCCATAAAACTTCTAGAAGATGACATATGAGGCAATCTAGGTGACCTGAGGTTTGGTAGTTAGTGACTTTTTAGATACAACTCCAAAAGCATGATTCATGAAAAGAACTGATACGTTGGACTTCATTAAAATTATAAACTTCTGCTCTGCAAAAGACACTGAAGAAAATGATAAGGTAAGCCACAGGCTGGGAGAAAATTTCTTTAAAACATATATCTAATAAAGGATTGGTATCCAAAACATACAAAGAACTCTTAAAACTCATCAATAAAACAAACAACCCAATTTTTCAAATGGGTAAAATATCTGAACAGACACCTCACCAAGAAGATATACAGATGGGAGAGTTCCCTGGTCGTCCAGTGGTTAGGAATCCTCGCTTTCACTGCTATGGGCCTGGGTTCGATCCTTGGTTGGGGAACTAAGATCCTGCAAGCCATACTCACGGCCAGAAAAAAAAAAAAAAAAGAAGATACACAGATGGCAAAGGAGTATGTGAAAAGATGTCCACATCATATGTCATTGGGGAATTGCAAATTAAAACAACAATGAGCTACCACAGCATACCTATTAAAATGGCTAAAATCCAAAACACTTACAACACCAAAAGTTGATGAGTATGTGGAGCAACAGGAACTCTCATTCATTGCTGGTGGGAATGAAAAATGGTACAGCCACTTTGGAAGACAGTTTAGTTGCTTCTTACATAATTAAACATATTGTTACCATATGATCTGGCAATAGTGTTCCTTGGTATTTACCCCAAAGAGTTGAATACCTATGTCCACAAAAACCTGCACATGAATGTTTATAGTAGCTTTGCTCATGATTACCAAAATTTGGAAGCAACCGAGATGGTTTTTCAACAGATGAATAGGTAAACAATGTGTGCAAGGAGACAAGAACAGTCATTTTAGCACTGTCTGTAACACCAAATTTTGGAAATAGCCTAACTGTCCATCAATAATGAAATAAGGAAATGAAACGTGGTAATATTTGCTGAAAGGAATATTGTGAGCCACTTGAAGAGAATAAACGAAAACACACACACAATGACACAGATATCAGAAACAAAATGTAGAGTTAAAAAATCAAGTTGCAGAAATATACATATAATATTAAACAATTTAAATAAGCTAAAAATGCACACAATATTACATATTATTCCTGGATGTGTGTGTGTGTAAAACAGTGCGTGTTAAAAATAGAGTAAAAGAGGGCTTTCCTGGTGGCGCAGTGGTTGAGAGTCCGCCTGCCGCTGCAGGGAACATGGGTTCGTGCCCCAATTCGGGAAGATCACACATGCCGCGGAGCGGCTGGGCCTGTGAGCCATGCCCGCTGGGCCTGCGCGTCCGGAGCCTGTCCTCCGCAACGGGAGAGGCCACAACAGTGAGAGGCTCACGTATCGCAAAAAAAAAAAAATAGTGTAAAAGATATACAGTAACTCAGAATGTTGGTTGCTTCTGAGAAAAGGAGAGAAAAATGAAACTGGAAATAGAAGGCAAAGAGAACCTCAAACTTATCTACAATATTTTACTTATTGAATTTTTTAAAAGCTTGAAGTACCTATGGCAAGATGCCAGCAGTTGTCAATTTGAGGTAATGGAGTAACAAAAATTGGGGATAACAAAAGAAGAGTTTTTTAGATTTGTTTTTTGTACTTATTTAAGTTTATTATTATTGTTATTATTAAACACACACACACACACACACACAGACCCAAATTGGGTTTAGCCCAGAATACAAGATTAGACAATACAAGAAAAACCATTAATTAATAAAAAAGTCATAGGAACATTAATAGAAAGTCAAAATTATCTCAATAAATACAAACATTTGTTTGATAATATATATTTACAAAGTACTCTAGAGAAGCATTATTTAAGAAGAGTAGCAAGAAGGTATACAGAAGCATTATTTAAGAAAAGTAGCAGGGGCTTCCCTGGTGGCGCAGTGGTTGAGAGTCCGCCTGCCGATTCAGGAGATTCGTGTTCGTGCCCTGATCCGGGAATATCCCACATGCTGCGGAGCGGCTGGGCCTGTGAGCCATGGCCGCTGAGCCTGCGCGTCCGGAGCCTGTGCTCCGCAACGGAAGAGGCCACAACAGTGAGAGGCCCGCGTTCCGCAAAAAAAAAAAAAGAAGAGTAGAAGGGGGGTATTTTAATCTTAGTTTTAAGGCAACATCACACACACATACACACACACACACACCCCTGAGTCTTTAATCTTGGAGTCTTTTTTCTTCACGAAATTCTTGGATTTTAATTTATTTTTTACTTGGGGTATAGTTGTTTCACAATGTTCTGTTAGTTTCTACTATAAAGCGAAGTGAATCGGCCATATGTATACATACATCCCGTCTTTTTTGGATTTCCTTTTCATTTAGGTCTCCACAGAGCACTAAGTAGAGTTCCCTGTGCTATACAGCAGGTTCTCATTAGTTATTTATTTTATACATATTAGTGTATAATCTTAGAGTCTTAAGGTAACATCTCACACACACACACATATTAGTGTATAATCTAAGAGTCTTAAGGTAACATCACACACACACACACACACACACACACACACAAAACAAAAAAACCCGAGTCCCGCTCTCCCGCGCTCAATACGCGCAAACGAGTCCTTCCCTCCCGAGCTCACTGCTCGCACTTGAGCACTCCTGCCCTTCGGCTCTGCGCCTGCGCCCTGCACCTCCCCCACCTGGCGTTTTGGTTTGTCTTTTCCTGCTTCCCCGCCCCCAACGGGGTGGGTTTCTTGAGCGTGCGTGCGCGCGCAGCTTGGGAAAAGCTAGTTTGAGAAGCGGAGCCTCTGCGTGTGGGCCCAAGGGGAAGAATGGAATGGGGAAGGGTTATGAGTCCCCGGGGCTGAGAAAATTGGAATCCACAAACAAACAAACAATCAGACCCTGGACAGAGGAGACCCACAACCTCAGACCTGGCTCTGTCTGCCCCAGGCATTATGCTATCTTGTATTTCAAAGATGAAGACTCAAACCAGAGAAGTTATGACCTGCTCAGGATTAGATGACCTCCTCTGACTTATTTCTTTTCCCCACATCAGTGCTGTAAGTATACTCTCTAGTAGTTTGTCCTCATTTAATTTGGGTCTAAAAAATCATCTTACATCTATGGCTGCAGTAATAAAAGCATATTTATGTTGTAAAAATGAGTATGGCAGTTGATGTCTGCATGATACCCAGAATATCTGTAGGTGTTGCCTGTGTCTAGTAGAATAAGTATCTATTATCACAGATGATTTTTTTCCTATTATAGAGTGGTAAATTTCTCAACCATCCACTTGCTGAATTATTCATAATTTTACATTCATTCGTGCCCTATCTCCAAAAAGATTAGAAGAAGCAACTTGTTAAAGTTGGGAAGTTGCTGTACAGTATAAACTAATACACTATTGTAAAGCAACTATACTCCAATGAAAATTAAAAAAAATTATTCACAATAGCCAAGATGTGGAAACAACCTAATTGTCCATAAGTAGATAAAGAAAATGTGGTGTGTATATATGATGGAATATTACTCAACCATAAAAGGAAGGAAATATTGCCATTTGTGACAACATGGATGGACCTTGAGGGTATTATGCTAAGTAAAATAAGTCAGAAAGACAAATGCTGTATGATCTTACTTATATGTGGAATCTTAAAAAAATGACAATAAACTGAACTCATAGAACAGATCGGTGGTTGCCAGAAGTGAGGGGAGGGAAGGTGAAATGTGTTAAGGTGGTCAAAAGGTACAAACTTCCAGTTATAAATAAGTCCTGGGATATAATGCACAGCATGGTGACTACAGTTAAGAATACTTTACTGTATATTTGAAAGTTGCTAAAAGAGTATATCTTAAAAGTTCTCATCATAAGAAAAAAATGTAACTATGTGTGGTCACAGATGTTAACTAAACTTTTTGTAGTAATCACTTTGCAATATATACATATATCAAATCATTGTGCTGTATACCTTAAAGTAATACAGTGTTACATGTCAGTTATATCTCAGTAATAATAATAAAAAGACTTAGAGAACTTTCTATTAAATAAATAAATAAAAAATAAATAAAGTTGGGCAAGTTATTTTCCAGTGCTTTAATAAATGTTGGTAAACAAAATAACTAAATGAATTTTTGACACACTTGCAAAAAATAACCTGGAAAATCCAACTAGGTCAGAGCTTCCGGGTCAATATATTTTAAAGTTTTTTTCTGAAAATGAAAGTGTATACATTATGAAAAACAAGAAAACCCTTTCCATAGAGATCAACCAATTGGGTACCTGACAAAGAATCCTTTGTCACAGTCACCCCTTCCCACCAAGACTCTAGCTCCTCCCTGTCCCATCTGAAAGTTTGTTTCCAGATAGTTCGTTGATCAGTCCACCTTCTAACTCTCTACAGCACTGTCTCAGACCTCTGTCAGGTTGTCTGGCTGGAATCCTGCATCCCTGGCCTCAGCTAGAAGGTGAGTCCCATCTAAGAGCCAGTTCTCCTGTCTATTTCACTTAAGAAAAATGTGGGCATAACAGGTCCACCTCAGCCTCTCTTGCCTAAAGTAGATATATCTGGAAGGGTCTCTAGCGGCAGGGTGGATTTTTATCTTAGGGTTCTGTGGTCGTTTTTTCAGCCCGTCTTTTCTGTTGAACAGGCATGGCTCAGGTCTCTCCAGGTAGTCTCTACCTACCTAGCGAATTAGCAGATTTCTTAGGGTCTGGGTGCTGAAGAGAAAACACCTGAGTCCTGACCTGTTCGGGTGTCTGCAGCTTAACAAAAGCAAGCCCAGGAGAAATTTTTATTTCCTTAAGAAGGGAAACGAGAATGTTCCTGCCTTTTTAAACCTGGTTTCCTGAAACCAAAGGTAAACATGCTTCTGTCTTTTAGGCTTCAGTTTCTCAGAAAACTAATTAGAAGGCATTTGCCTCTTAGTGGCTGTCTTTCCAGCCTCAAGGGCGAGGGGGGGGGGCTGAATATTGCCTTTCTATCAATAGAAATTTGTCCTTTTAATAAGTAGGTGAAAAGTGAGTTAGTTCTGGCTTGAAACTTTAAACTTCTTGGAGAACAAGGCTACAGAAAAACCTGTTTGGATACACATCAAACTATTATTCAGGATTTCACCCTGGGGAGTGGAATTGGAAAGGAAGATGGTAAGGGGAGGAGAAATTGTTATTTTGTACATTATGCCTGTATTACTCGAGAAATGTTTAATGCAATAAGGAAAAGAAAGCAGTGCTAGAGTCAGATAGGTAATTAAGCAGTGCATCTCGTTGACCTTCTCACTTAATTTTTCTGGTAGCCTCTATAAGCCCAACAGTTGCAGCTAAATCCTGTTGAAACTGCTGCTGGGTTTCCTGTAATTGATTCGACTGCTAATACTGTTAGTATTGTTTTGATTAAGTTTCTTCTACTTACTACTTTGATCTGCAGCTTCCCTCTACAGCCTACACAAATCACAGTCCCCTGGAGCTCTTTTTTGGTTTCTTTTGGGTAGCCATCGTTATAGACTGCAAAAATTATTACAGTATAGACTTAGCAATCTTTTTTTTTTTTTTTTTTGCTGTACGCGCCACCACTGCGCCACCAGGGAAGCCCAGCAATCATTTTTAATATTGAGAAAAGGTGTCGTGCACCAAAGGGAACTGACTGGCCCTTCTGGTTCTTATTATGACTGCGAGACACCCTTCAGCAATAACCATCAGGAACCTTTGAAAAAAATAAAGGGTTATTACTTACAGGATCTGGAAATACACAGCAGACCTGGGGCCACACAGCGAGGTTGTGGGTAGAGAGAAAAAGAGAACATGCTGGCCTGGGGTTCCGCTTTCTCTGGGGTGGAGGATGGGAGCTTAGAGTTTGGCGGGCTCCCTATTGGTGAACTTGAAACATAATGGCCGGAATTTAAAACAGGAAGAAACAAAAAAAAAAAACAAAAAGCGAAAAACAGCGACCCACGGGGAATTCCCTGGCGCTCCAGTGGTTGGGACTCAGTGTTTTCACTGCGAAGGGCTTGGGTTCAATCCCTGGTCAGGAACTAAGATCCCACAAGCCGTGTGACCAAAACACAGGGGCTTCTCTGGTGGCGCAGTGGTTGGGAGTCCGCCTGCCGATGCAGGGGACGCGGGTTCTTCCCTCGGGGCGGCTGGGCCGTTGAGCCATGGCCGCTGAGCCTGCGCGTCCGGAGCCTGTATTCCGCGGCAGGAGAGGCTGCAGCGGTGAGACGCCCGCGTACTGCAAAAAAAAAAAAAAAAAAAAGACAAAACACAAAGAAAGTCCAGCAACCCAAATGGTCAGTTATGAAATCAACTAAGCTCACAAAAACAAAAGAGCCTCCTCATTGCCGGGAGGTGGCTGGCAATGTGTTTAATCAAGATAGACATCTTTGAAATGAGTAAGGAAAGAAAAAACGTCAACCATCAGGTTCTACACTACAACCAATTAGTTCCCAGTCTTGGCTGCTCATCAGAACCTTTCAGCACACTTTTTAAAAATGCAGATTCTAAATTTTTTTTTTTTTAATAAAAAGAAACTAAAGGGCTTCCCTGGTGGCGCAGTGGTTGAGAGTCTGCCTGCTGATGCAGGCGACACAGGTTCGTGCCCCGGTCCGGGAAGATCCCACGTGCCGCGAAGCGGCTGGGCCCGTGAGCCATGGCCGCTGAGCCTGCGCGGCCGGAGCCTGTGCTCCGCAATGGGAAAGGCCACAACAGTGAGAGGCCCGCGTACCAAAAAATAAAATAAATAATAATAAAAAATAAACTAAAAATTTTTTTAAAAGAGAGAAAAAAACAAACAAAAAAAGCAGGTTCTTAGGCTTCTCCCCAGACACGATGCAACAAACAATGAATCTGTATTTTTAAGATTCCCAGGTGATTCTATGGTCAGCCAGGTTCGGGAACTACTGGACTCCCATATTTCCTGTCTCCCATTGTTACAATCTTTCAGCTCACTATTCATGGTGAATTGTCCTAGAAATTACTACTATTACAGACTGCCACACAAATCCAGTTTGTACCAAATCTGGTTCTAATATGGCGAGCATTATCACTTCATGACATTGCCTACATGTGGCAAACAGAGCAGGTAATTATCTGATTGCACAAAAGCAATACATCCCACAAATTGTCCCAGAGACACAGCATTTTTTTAAAAAATTATACTTGAGACGTGTCCAGTGAGAAAAACTCAGCAGGGTCCAGGGGATGTCTTTTTGTTTTTTAGTAATTAACAATTGGATTTATTGCCATTTCTTCACATTTTCCTCTTATCTCTCTACAAGGTATCTTGGTTTATATCAGAAATGAAAATCAAAGAAGTACATATTATATTATAAATAGTACATTATTAATAGTGTATATTTTTGTATAATGTTTTTATTTGGAAACAATTTCAAACTGGCAGAAAATTTGCAAGTACAGTTGTAAATAACTTTTTCTTGAATTATTCGAAAGTAAATTACTAACCTGATTTCCCATTATCCCTGAACACATTATTCTACATAACCACAAGACAATCATCAAAGTCAGGAAATAAACACTGATATATTATTACTATCTAATCTCCAGGGCATGTCTTAACAGCCACCATTTACAGAGGATTTAGTATTAGGCCAGCATTTCATAGTACCCCTGTGTTGGGGTTCAGAGTAGGCTGCCCCAAGATATGCCACAATGGCATATTGATTATTCTGAGTGAAAACTACTTGAGAAACAGCTGGTGGGGGAAAGACTGATATTAAAAAAAACATTCTGACCACCCCACCACCACCCCCGTTTTCCCCCAGAAAGTAGAAAAGAAATCTCCTGTGTCAAAGTATCCTCCCTATACCAGGAGATTAGAAAGTATCCTTATCACCAGTTAAGGAATTCAAGGCTAAGAAAGCCGAATAAGCAAACCCTGTTCCTTCCTGAGTCGGCTACCCCAAGCACAAACCCCTTTGTTAAATCTTCACAAATAATTGTTTCTCTGCCTGAAAATGTTATATGAACAGCCTTCTTTGGTCACTTGGGGAGGCATTTCTATGAGACCTCTCTGCATTCTAATTAATTTTTTTTCTCCTGTTAATTTGTCTTGTGTCAGTCTTCAGCTAAAAGAACTCGAGGGGTAGGGGGGAAATTTCCCCCTTCCCGACATCTCTTATACCTAGGAAGAAACTAAGCTTCAGAAAGGTTAAGTAGCAGTGTTTCATCACATGCCAGGCACTGAGAACTTAGTAGTGGTTTAATAGCTACTGTTTGTCGACACTTGGATTTTGTACCAAGCACATGGAACACAGCATTGAATCTTTATGACAACCGTCTGAGACATGGCTATATTATTATTTCCATTTTATGTAAGAAAGAGCAGTTAACCTGCCCAGATCACATTTGGGTACCTGAGGCTATATTTGAACCTTGTCACATTTGGCTCTGAAACCCACACAAGTACATGGGTACTTCCTCCAAGCTCAGTCTGATGGACGTTCTGGTCATTCCTGGGTAGCGCTGTAAGTAGTGAGTGGGTGTTCTTCCTGTTATTCAGTCACAGTCTCCACCCATTTCAACAGTCAATACAACGTTTCCTAAATGATCTCCAAATTCCAGAGTCTTAGGCCCCTGCCCTAAAGCTGAGAGGGGCCTAGGATCTGGAATTTTAACAACCACACCAGGTGATTCTTATCAGGAAAATTTGGACAACACTGTTTAGGTATCTTTGAATGAACAGAGTCTGTTTTACAGACCTCCTGCATTGTGTGCCTGGCAACAGGCACCCTTGAGGGAGGGCACAACCACCAATGGCAGCTTCTCACACTGACCTGTGGGGAAATGAGGGGAGAAGAATGCGTCCGTCCTAATCGTGTTACTCTGTTGCTGAGTTGCCTAAAATGTCTTCACTCCACCCCTACCTCCATATGTGATGGAGTTTGGTGAAGAGTTTCTGTATCTTTTACTTGCCCATCATCATCTTTCTTTCTGTAGGCGGGAATTCAGGTTGTTTTGGCTAAGAAATCAACTGGAACATTAGAGGATCTGCTGTGCTGGGAATCACCCCTCCTTAGGCTGTAATGTGGACAGTGTCTCAGTGGGAAACTGCAGAGTGGGAAGGGGCCTCCAGAACAACTGACCCCAACAGGATGCAAAACACAGTGTATACTATGATTACAGCTTTGCTAAAATATATCTGCCAATGGACTAACACTGGAAATGAATAAGCAAAAGTGGAAGCAGCTGTATGATACAGCGGTAGGAAGGAGTTTTCTCATTCTCTACCTTTTTTTTTTTTTTTGGCCACATCACACAGCTTGTGGGACCTTAGTCCTCAGACCAAGGATCAAACCTGGGCCTTCAGCAGTGAAAGCATGGAGTCCTAATCTCTGGACCACCAGGGAATTCCCTGTCATTGTCTACTTTTTTTTTTTAACATCTTTATTGGAGTATAATTGCTTTACAGTGGTCTGTTAGTTTCTGCTTTATAACAAAGTGAATCAGCTATACATATACCTACACCCACATATCTCCTCCCTCTTCCGTCTCCCTCCCACCCTCCCTATCCCACCCCTCTAGTTGGTCACAAAGCACAGAGCTCATCTCCCTGTGCTATGCGGCTGCTTCCCACTAGCTATCTGTTTTACATTTGGTAGTATATATATGTCCATGCCACTCTCTCGCTTCGTCCCAGCTTACTCTTCCCCCTCCCCATGTCCTCAAGTCCATTCTCTATGTCTGCGTCTTTATTCCTGTCCTGCCCCTAGGTTCTTCAGAACCTTTTTTTTTTTTTAGATTCCATATATATGTGTTAGCATACGGTATTTGTTTTTCTCTTTCTGACTTACTTCACTCTGTATGACAGACTCTAGGTCCATCCATCTCCCTACAAATAACTCAATTTTGTTTCTTTTTATGGCTGAGTAATATTCCATTGTCACTCTCTACTTTTTAATCTTTCTGTAATGTCATTATATAGATCTCATAATGAAAGGTATATATATATTTAAATAATTTTATTTTATTTATTTATTTAATTTTTGGCTGTGTTGGGTCTTTGTTGCTGCACGCAGGCATTTCTCTGCGGCGAGCGGGGGCTCCTTTTCATTGTGGTGTGTGGGCTTCTCACTGTGGTGGCTTCTCTTGTTGTGGAGCACGGGGTCTAGGCACGTGGGCTTCAGTAGTCGTGGCTCGCAGGCTCTTGAGCGCAGGCTCAGTAGTTGTGGCGCACGGGCTTAGTTACTCTGCAGCATGTGGGATTTTCCCAGACCAGGGCTCAAACCCGTGTCTCCTGCATTGGCAGGCGGATTCTTAACCACTGCGCCACCAGGGAAGCCCCTATGAAAGGTATATTTCTAAAGTTTCTTACTGTAGAAATCACTTTTCCCTAAACATTTCTGTTATGTGAGTCATTTTTGTTATCATACAGATTTTGTAGAAAAGTTTTAGAAGCTAACAATAGCCATGTTGCTTAATATCACAAATATTCCGAGTATATCCAATCCTAGTCTCCATATCAAAGCAAATAAATTACTGTTAACATGGAGACTCATGCATTTAACTTTGACGTGCAGGAAGGCGGAATAGCATAGAGGCTAAAGTAGACTTTGGAGTCAGGCAGACATGGGTTCAGATCTTGGGTTCAGAATTTACTAGGTGGTCTCAGGTAAGGCACATTTTCCTCAACTGTAAATTAAAGCTAATCAGGGCCAAAATTTATTGAGAGCCTTCCATATGCCAGGCTTTATTTAAATATATTATTTATTTCAACCTTCATCTTTATCTAAGGCATAGGTATGAATTTTATTTCTGTTTTACAAATGAGAAAGCTGAGTCTTAAAGGGGGAAATTAACTTGCCTGAGGTCATTCAGCCGATTAAGAAATACGGTTGGAATTCAAAGCTCTGGTCAATCTGACCCTAGGAGTCAAGCTCTTAACACGACTTTATCCTACCTTGCTTGAGGCTGCTATACATAATTCAAAGATTGAGGGGACGAGAAAAGATATAATGTATTTAAAACATTTTGCACAGTATCTGACACATAGTAAGCACTCACTATATGTTAGCTATAATCTTAGATATCAGAGGATACAGGGATGGAGCTGTAGAGGCATTTTGATGTATTAGCCATTGACTGATGGGGTTTATTTGTCATATCTGGCTGTCTTGGAAGGGAGCCCGTGCTTCCCTCATTCCCCCCCACCCAAGACATGCTTCTTCCAAGCTGTATAATTGGGCAAAGAAGACAACTTTCCCTGATTAAAGCAGAGGTGAAGGTGGACTTTAAATGCAAATGGTCTGAGATGATTCTGAAACAATAAACAATAAAAAGAGGATGAACATAGTGGCTGTGTCCTAATTCCTCATTCTTCACTTCCATTTTAGGCTGAGAATGAAAGAAGGAACAAAATTGAAAACTGATCCCATTTATTTCAAAATCATGTCACCTCTGTCAGCTGAAGATACTGAACTAAGAGGCAGCTTGAGTCTCCTTCCGCTTGTGCATGAGGTAGATTCAGAAGGAAAACATTGTCTCTGGAACTTTTAAATGCCCATTCCATTTGAAAACGAGCAAGATAGATGTGTATTTCTCCCCTCCCCCCACCAAAGGACTTTGCAAAAAGGAGGAAAATGGGGATTTTACACTAAATCACCAGGAAACTCCTCCAAGTTTGCAGTGGGAGAAGCCAAGATGCAGCAGCCTCGGAGGGGATTTGCCAGTTCATGTTAGGAGTCCCTGACTTTGGACAGGTCAGGAATATGACCTGAGTCTGATCCTGAGCTTTGCAGAAGAAGAAATTCAGATTTTTCCAGAACAATCAGGAGGCTCTGGGAGAAGTGACAGATATTAAGTATAGGAAACAGTATAGACTACTCAGCTGTTTTCACTTGCAGTGGAGGCCAATGCTTTCTAGAGATGAGAGCTTGACCGAGGATCCTGTTAGCAAACATGAGTATTCTCGCCTTTGGAGAGTATCTTCAGAGTATTTCTACATTCTCAGAGTTGAGATGACTAAATCTATTTAAATGTTATATTTATCCAGCTTGGACACTTACTAGACATGTGCCTTTCAGAAAATTAAATTCCCTGCACCTCAGTTTTACCATCTATGAAGTGGTGATAACATGTGTATGGTATACCTCATATGAGTTGTTGTGAGAATGTACGCAAAGCATTAGCAAATAGTAGCTGGTTGTAGTAACATCTCAGTAAATAGAAACATAGTTATTATAAATTTTGTGCTTATTTGAAATTGAAGCTTCTTGAAAATAATTTGATGTTCAGCCTCTCCCAAACCATGGGGAAACTGAGGCAGCTCAGCTTCATAAGAAATCTAGTTTACCTCTCTGGTTCTTCCTCTTTCCATTTCATAGATGGCACAGTCTTTCTTCAAAACAAGTCCTATATGGGAATTCCCTGGCGGTCCAGTGGTCACGATTCCGCACTTCCACTGCAGGGGGCGTGGATTCGCTCCCTGGTCGGGGGAACTAAGATTCCGCAAGCTACGCAACGCGGCCAAAAAAAAGAGCTCTATTGATGATTAGAGGTATCCTGCCTTTTCTTTTCTCTGGGATAACACCCTACATTGGTTTCAAGTGACGAGAGCTTTTTATTTACATATAATGTGAAGGTTACATAATTCATGTTCCCATCTGTAATTTTCCAAGTTAGATTCTTCCTCTGAGGTTCTGGGTTATGGTGATGGGCCTTGGTTTTACTCTGCATGCAGACAGCGTGCTCTGAGCCACCTGTTTCTGAGATGCCAGTGCCTCTTTTGTCATCAAAACCTGGTTAGCATTTTGTTCTCTTGTTTAAGGCAACAAATCTGAATGTTGTTATGTACAGTACGAATAAGGTGAATCTTTTATCAAGGTCACCTTTTTGAGCCAGTCATCTCACCTCTGGGGATTCATAAATATACCAAGGAAAGAAAAGGTCATATGCCTGAGTAGAGTATGTGCCTGGCTTGATTTTAACAGTGTAAAATTGCTAGTTACCCAAATTATTAGGAGGATGATTACTGAAATTTGGTATAATCTTTTGGGATATTGCGCAACCATTAAAAATGATCATTTTGAAGACTACACTACAACATGGGGAAATGCCTGCATTAGTCAGCTACTGCTGCAAAACAAACAACAAGCTTAGAATCTCAGTCATACAATTAGTCTTTTTCTCTCACTTCTGCATTTGCAGGTCAGCTGGATTTTGGCTAATCTTGTCGGGATCAGTGGAACTTGGCTCCAGCCATGAGTTGAGTTCACATCTCTCATTCCTCCGTGACTAGTGGGCTGCCCAAGACATCATCTTCACAAGGTGGTAGCAGAAGCCCAAAAGAGCAGACCCAGCACTGAAATGGGTAAAGCCTCTGTACACATCACAACTACTAACATTTCATTGGCTAAATAAAGTCATACAGCCAAGCTGACATCAAGGGGGTGGAAAATATACTCCAGCTGTAATCTCAGGAACTACACATGGTATAGGTGTAGGGAGTGATGAAGTACTGGGAAGAATTATACAGTCTACAACAGTGCCTCACAAAAAGATTACATGGAAAAAACACATGCACAGGATATAAAATTGATTGTACAACTTGATCATAACTATGTAAAAATATTTTTTGCAATTCAACAAAGAATAGAAATAAATAAGCAAAAATGAAAAAAATCATGACTGGATAACAAGTGGCTAAGAACTGTTTATTTTGCCTCTCTCCATTTCTCAAACCTACATAATATAGTACCTTTCTTTTTTAAAGTAAGTTTTAGAAGCTTCTCACAGCAGGCATGTTATTTCACCAAACTAATTGTTTTATCTATTATATTAAGGGTCTGTAGGAAAAATGTAGAATTCTAAGCGCATTCAAGTTAGCCATTTATTCTTAGTCTCCACCAGTTCCTAATCTCAAACTCAAATCTAACAGACTTCCATCAACATGGACCTTTAGCTGTTGCCTAAAAACAGTTTAAATTCCTTTATTCTCTTATTCTCCATTATGGCAGTGTTAATTATTCTCCACACTGACCTCTTTGAAGTCTCCAAAATTAGATATTCATTCTATTGGCTAGAAGCATTGTCCTAGTAGATTCTGATTTTCTGAAAGCAGCAAGTCCATTCAGTAAATAATTACTGAGCACCTGCCATGTTCAAGGTGCTGCACTAGTTACTTTCAGGGAAATAATAAAGATATGTAAGTGCCATCCTTACTGTCAGGGGTCTCACAGTCTAATGGGAAGAGAAATCTGTACACATACATTTGGGGCCAGAAAGAACAGACTAGAAGAAAGATTCACGAGTTCTCAACCCTGGTGGCACACTGGAATCATCCGGGCAACTTTTATTTATTTATTTATGGCTGCGTGTGGGCTTTCTCTAGTTGTGGAGAGCGGGGGCTACTCTTTGTTGCGGTGCGCGGGCTTCTCATTTCAGTGGCTTCTTGTTACGGAGCATGGGCTCTAGGCTTGCGGGCTTCAGTAGTTGTGGCATGTGGCCTCAGTAGTTGTGGCTCACAGTCTCTCGAGCACAGGCTCAGTAGTTGTGGCGCACGGGCTTAGTTGCTCCGTGGCATGTGGGATCTTCCCGGACCAGGGCTTGACCCCATGTCCCCTGCATTGGCAGGCGGATTCTTAACCACTGCGCCGTCAGGGAAGTCCCTGGACAACTTTTAATAAATACCGTTGCCCAGGCCCAGGCCCAGGCCCAGAGATGCTGATTTAACTGGTCTCGTTTCTGGCCTGATCACTGCTATTTTTTAAAGCTCCCCAGATGGTTATAATGAGCAGCCAGTGTTGAGAACCACTGGATTAGGCCTTCTACTTTGAGCCCGACCAAACTGTCTGCATAGAACTGACAAAGACTCTCAAATGCAATATTTAAAACAATTAATTTGTTTTAAAAAATCAATTATTTTATCAAAAATTATACAATGTATGCAAATAGTTCAAAGTCAAATGGCACTGAGGCTTACGACTAAAATTTAGCAGACCCCTGTTCTCTCCATTCCCTCAATCCTCCTCCACTTTTGACTCTTTATTTTTAGAGAATTCACACATTTCCCATTCTCCGAATGTTAACATGCTGGTATCTTTTGCTTCGTCAAAAACTAATTAATTGCTGAACTTTATTTTCTCCCATCTAAAAGTACCCTTAAAGCCCCCAAGGAAAGGTAAAAATGATGAAATATCAGGTAGCTGGAGCAACAGGAGTAAGTGGGGAGGTTCTTCTGTTCAATCCAGTATCAGGAGAGCCGACCACTAGGTTCAGATGGCTGGCTTGGGGGCCTGAGCAGTTCAGAGAGGCAGCTAAGAGCACTTTTCCAAGCCCTGCCTGCTCTTCCACCTCTTGGAAAGATGATGGGCTTTAACTGAAATTATAACCAAAAAGAATATTTCCTCACTTTCTCCTGGATTTGTGCCTGGAGGGCACCCTACCCCATCCCCAAAATAGGCCAGCAAGGCTGGGGTGCGTTAGAAACACTGGGAGATAGAGGTATAATAAAGGATGCATTAGGACAGTAAGTCAGGGTGTATCCTGGAAAGCCCTGAAAATTAGTTTGGTTTGACTGCGGGGACTCCCTGGGGATACATTAGCAGGGATGTCACAAAGTCAGTTCTGTATTTGAGGAGGACTTCTGTGGTTGACAAGATGGAAGCTGGATTGGACTAGAAAAACGAGAGGCAAGGCACCAGTGATAAGTACCAGGGAAGAGGTGGAGTGGAGTGGGAAAAGGACAGTGACACTGCAAACAGACTGAAAGGCCCAGTCCTAAGAGACATTTCTGTGGCTCCATGCTATTCTGACTGTGCCTTGATTTCCTCACTTGTAACACATGAAAAGGCATAGCTGCCACCTGCCTGGGAGCAGGGACTCTGCTCTTTCTCCCTTCCTGTACTGTTTGAAATAATTTTCAGAAGGTTGCCCTCTTTTCATAAAGCAGGTAAAGGTGTTTAATGGCTCTCGAGGCAAAACAGAGCTTATGAACTTCCTCTGACAGGGCATATTCTGGACTGAGCCCAAACACAATATTCCTCTCCAGGCCTGAAAACTGCTGAATACTGTCTAAAATGATGTGACCATCCAAAACACCAGAGACCTGGCTGAACACGACCTTCACTCCTCCGTGGGTCTCAAATAATTCCATCGCTCTTAGTAGTGCAAGCTCATAGCGTCCTCTGTCCTCCCCTCTCCTGCACAGAATTGCTATATCTTTGGGCAGATATCCACATTGGAACAGGTTGTGACATCTTTCTGCCACGTGTTTTGCAATTTCTTCTGTGGTCAGGTTCGTCTCTGTCTCACACACCCCAGGCAGAGCCTGAGCGCACATTGCTTCCTCATAGGCAGCTTCCCTAAATGATGCCAATGTGTCTGGAGACACGTTGGGGTGAGGATTTTCTTTGATCCTCTTCATTTCTTCTTTCATCAGCATTGCTATGTCCAGAGCACAGTGGATCCCATTGGTGATTGTTTTTCGAGGAAACTGAGCAGATGGAGGGGGAAGGCCATTGATATCTGCGTGACGGACTTGGAAAGGGTCCAGAAAAAGCCAGAGAATCCCTTGGTGAAGATTTTCATTTCCAGCGCCCCTCACCTTTGGATGGGTGATGCTCCTAGCCTTCATGTACCAGTCACCATATTTACTGCAGAAATTCTCAGTCTCATCCATCACTATGTGTTTGATCTTTGAGAACTCCCCTTGCATGAAGGTTTTCCGGGTCACAGCTTGGCAGGTGGTTTGCTGGCTGTAAGGATGAAGGAGAAAATAGGGCTTCAGCCATATAAACAAAGGAAATACCATGCATTTATTATTCTCTGGATTAGCATTAGAGACTGGTTCTCATCTGGAGACTGATTCACTGATTCAATAACTACAAAAATGCTCTACTTACAAGTTACCTGATAGACAGAATACATAATTGCAAACCCTACTCTTTGGGGTTATCAAGTTAAATCTGCATGCGAAACTTTTGAAATGAACCCAGGTAGGAGATTTTATTATTTCTACCATAGTCCATTTCTGCTGCTTGACAATCCCTGAAGGTAAATTCCTTACATCTAAAGGAAATCTCAAAAGGAATTTACACTTGTTACTACTATTTCTTTACTTTCTGTCTTTTTTAGAGCTGGAGAACAGTCACCTAGAGGCATATCATAATTTTCGTATGCAAAAGAGGTATGGGCTCATACAAGTTCCTCTAAAGAAAATCCTATTTCCCCACTTACTTGTAGTACAAAAGCAGAAGCCTCTTTAGATTTTGGTAAGGAAAACATTAAGAGGTTGCTGAGTTCCATGACATGTCAAGTAGGGTACCAAGTCTGCAGGGCTTTGCCTCTATGGAGCTACCAATCCTACTTACTTAGCTCAATTTTCCTTTATAGTATGTTTTAGCATACGTGTGTGTGTCTGTGTGTGTGTGTATACTTTTTTTTTTAAAACAAACTTGGTTGTTTCTTGCCACCTCTAATTTGGAATCAAGTCATATCACCCATCCCTGCAGATGTGGGACTGCATGTGCAGTCCCTGGGGCTTTACTCCCTATGTCCTGAATCATAACTATTCACGTTCCTCTCTTCCAGGTTGGACTCTGTAGACTTCTTGAAGAAAAGCATTGATTCTTAGCCATCTCCATAACCCACTCACATTAAGTTCATAGAAGTTTGTTGAATTGAATTTGTCTTTTGACTGGGGATATTTAAAAACTTATACCTGGGGCTCCCCTGGTGGCACAGTGGTTGAGAGTCCGCCTGCCGATGCAGGGGACACGGGTTCGTGCCCCGGTCTGGGAAGATCCCACATACCACAGAGCGGCTGGGCCTGTGAGCCATGGCCACTGAGCCTGCGCGTCCGGAGCCTGTTCTCCGCAAAGGGAGAGGCCACAACAGTGAGGGGCCCGCGTACCGCCAAAAAAAAAAAAACAAAAAAATCTTATACCTGTAAAGCGTAATAAAGAACGTAGCCTTTAACACAGTTTACAAGATCCTTCATAGTCTGGCATCTGCCTCCTTTGCAAGTTCATCATCTGTGGCATACCCACAGTCCCTCATGGCTCCAGGCAGACCTACCATTATGATTCTCTAATCTCCATGCCTTTGCACTTGCTGTGCCCTTTGCCTTTATTCACTTCTCCTACTCACTTCTTAAGAAGGAAGTCAAGATCTCCTTCACTGGGAGTATTTGCTGACCAATATCCAGCCCAAGTTAAGCATATCTTTAGTATCATAATAGTTACACAACACTCCCATTGCTTATTTTTCTCTTTGTCTCTCTTATTGGGCTTTACGGCAAGGTCTGCAATATGTTTTTCTCCTCTAACGCTAAATGTACACAGTACCTAGCATATAAACAGTGCTCAAAAAGATTAGTTGAATAAATAAGCAAGTCAAAATTAAAAGCCCTCATTTGCTGGATTGACTAACAACCAATTTCTTTTACTAAATCGAAAGCTAAAGATTTAAACCAGAAGCAAATGTGCATGTTTTCTAAAATTATTGACCCAGAACAAGTCAAACAAGTAAAAATATTTTATAAACGAAATAAATGGTATTTAAATTCAAGTTCCCATTAGGTGTAATGTCTAATTGACTGAAAGACCCTATGACTTTAAAGCACTAAATATCAAGCAAAAAGTATATGTGAAACAAGATAGGTTTGTTTCAACCTTTCTTAAATTTAAGGCCATAGATTGTGGGGGGGAAATGTTTCTAGTTATATAAACTTAAAGTTATGCATATGTAGCTAATTTCTAATGAGATGTTTAAGCCTGAACATTGCAAAGTGCCGTTTTCTAGCTCAACCACTTGATCACTTGCAAATGTGTATATAGTTTGGGCTCTTGTCCATATGCAGCAAAGGCATTGCAAAATCTTAAACTAAAGACACAAATTACTTGTGTGATACTGTTGAAAGACTGATTAAATGTGTTTAGTTAGTGAAACTCTTACATCACAAAATCCTTTAAGGCGTCACTCTCACAAACGTAGAGGATCTCTTTGGGCTTGCAGTGGAACAAGTCCTTAATTTTCTCCATGATCTTTATGGCCAGGGCAGTCTTCCTGGTTCCTGGAAAGCAGTGGAGGAACAATTCTCGTGTCTCCTGAAGGCTCTCTGAAAGCAGCTCGCACTGCTCTGCTACAAGCAAATTGAAATATTCACAGCCCAGCTGGTCACTCAGAAGAGATCGAGAGCAGAGTGAGACCATGATAAGGGCCTGCAACAAATTTTCCATTTCATCCTCATCAGCAAGCCTGTAGGTTCGGGGATAGTGCATAGGGATTTCACGTGGTCTACACCGTGTGCTGGGCAGGTATATCAGCCTTGGGATGACACACAGTTTCCCTGTGTAACCACCAACAGTTCCCAGTTTCTGCTTTAATTGACGAGCAGTGTTCCGGGCGTACACAAGCCCCCCAATCCACGTGGGGTCTGTTAAGATTGTATAGAGTACAAGGGGGCTGTTTACTGCTATTAGGAGAGCATCACACAGGACATTCTGCTCCTTCCTGAAGCCAACGTCACTAGCCCAGCTTTTGGAAAATATCACAAACCCCTGAGAACAAGGATATATCTGTGTCTTCATTAATTTCTCCAGTCCTTTATGATCTGAGAAGAGCTTCTTACAGAGGGATTCTGGTTTAAATTGTATCTCTTCCTGTGTCACTGAAAATGCAAGGAATAGAAGTTACTAAAATTTCCAAAGGATATTTAAGTATTCCTGCAACATCGTAAGAAGAGATGAGCCTAGCCATGGAACTATGGGTTTCCTTGTCTGCAAAGAAAGCATCTCCTCTTCACAGGCCAGGACTGAGAAGTCACTGTTTCTGGCAGCTCTCATACAGGGGAAGGCAATCAGGGAGGGGTCCTCACAGAACAGCCTTCTAGCACTCTGTCCTCAACCCCAAATGGTCCAGTAGTACTAGGAAGGTATTCCTTCCTGTTAAGGGTGTGTGTGTGTGTGTGTGTGTGTGTGTGTGAGAGAGAGAGAGAGAGAGACAGAGAGACAGAGAGAGAACCTGATGCTTTTGGGAAACTAAGAACTTTCCTTTTCCTGTGGCAATTTTGCCCCCATGGGATATTTGGCAATATCTGGAAATGTTTTGATTTTTCATAGCTGGAGAGGTGCCTCTGGCATCTAGTGGCTAGAGGCTAGGAATGCGGCCAAACATCCTACAATTCTCAGGGCAGCCTCCCTAACAAAGAATTATCTGATCTAAATATCAGTAGGGTCAAGACTGAGAAACTGCCTTAGGAAGAGTCTAGGTGACCCCAAGGCTCACCTCCTTCTGCCTTGGAAAGCCAGGGGGCAGCTCTTTCAAATGTATTCTCTCATATTTGGAGAACAAAAGCCATCTGTGACTGGAAGCCCAAAACGCACAGAGGTGTAGGGTGGATTTGATGACTGAAATCAAGAATTCGCCATGTATATTAATTCAGGACAATTGTATCTGCTAAGCCCTACATTTGATCTTCTCTAAGGAGAAAGGCTTGGATGAATTGCTACCAATTCCTCCCAACTTAATTTTAGAAAATAAATAATCCCCTCAGCTGAAATCAAGAAGGAATACCTGGAAACAAGCGTTGTTGTAGAGCCCCCTTAAATTCCAGGACTTTGATGGGAGATGGGCTTCCTCGTGTAGATGAAGCTGGTGAAATCAGGTGAAGGCTGTAGTCTGCGGCCAAATTGGAAGGAGCTAAACAAATCCATGGAGAGTTGTTTCAGATGAAAAAAAAAAAAAGTTAAAGAATGTTTCTATTGCTCTTCCTACTGTTGACATATGGTGTGTGTCATGCCTGAGCTGTTCTCATTCTTTCTATGCCTCAAACAGTTCACATATGTTAGGAAAAGAGGTCTGGGACTCCTGTAGGGCCATGCATCTTCTAAGTCACCTGTGACTTATCTTGGGCAAGTCATTTCACCTCTCTCCTGCAAGGGTGAGCAGGTGATCCCTAAGGTTCCTTCCAACTCTAATATTCTGGTTCCAGGTCACCTCTAAGAAGAAAAGGCTTCCAGTAGTGGTGGTAGTGGTGGTGGTAGGGTGGTGTCAGAAAAAGTAGGCACAGTATTTTAAAAATATTATTATAGTTGTTAAAGTCCCCCCTACCCCAAAGTTTAGATGGAATGGAAAGTAGTAGGATCTCTAGTTTGGGGTTTATGTGTGTGTGTGTGTGTGTGTGTGTGTTTGTGTGTGTGTGTGTGTGTATGTGTAAGTAAACTCAAACAAATTTAAGATAAGAGAAAGTATCATCCAATAAAATCACTGAAGTCTTCATCTGAGCTTCTTTTATCAAATCTGGAACTTACTGACCATGAAGGCAAACCGATAAACTTCATTCAGCCCGTTAAGTCCTTTATGGATTGATCTGAAATCACCAGGGCTGATGCTCAGCAAAACTGTAAGGAAGTGAAAACACAAGAAGTCCTCCTCCCCCACCACCATCCCCCCCCCCCCACCCCCTTTTTTTTTAAAATTTTTTTTTTAAGGTATGTGGGCCTTTCACTGTTGTGCCTTCTCCCGTTGTGGAGCAGAGGCTCCGGACGCGCAGGCTCAACGGCTATGGCTCACAGGCCCAACCGCTCTGACGCATGTGGGATCCCAGACCGGAGCACGAACCCGTGTCCTCTGCATCGGCAGGCGGACTCTCAACTGCTGCGCCATGAGGGAGGCCTGTACCTGGCACCTTCTTTTGCGTTAAGTTTTTCTCCACTTGGTGGTGCCCTCAGCCTAGTGGTTCAAGGTACTGGCTCCTAATGTTACTGAAACAATTCAAATTTGTCAACAAGTTTCCCTTAAAAGAATTAGTGGAGAGTCTTTCTTAAACAACGTTTCTCTGAAATATCATCTTTAGAGAGAGACTATTGATGAATGTTTTAGACTAAGACTATCAGCCTGCAATTTTTTTTTCAGCAGACCTTTACAGTGCATAAAAAGGAACTTTCATGAATTCATGGCTGATGGCATACTATAACTTTCCCCAAAGAGATGAAAATCCAAGCATTTCTTGACCTCACACAGTTCATATTCTGAGTCTTTGGAACTAAAAATGTTAGAAAATAACCCTTTAATAGAAGATTTGTAAGCAAAACCAGCTTTCTATTCTCTAACCAAAATATTGACCAAATACCCAGAAGAAGGCAGAGAAGGGGCTCCTCCCTGCTGACTGGACAATGACGTCTTGTCTGCTTTACCTGATTGAATATCCAGCATCATGGCTACCCACTGCTCAGCCGTCAGCCTTGTGACAGAATTGTCCCTGATGACCCAGGAATCTGGGGCCTCTGTGAATACTACACAGCAGAAGGGCTCCACGTGTACCACACAGACATGACCATACAGGACATCTTTTTGGTACACATTCAAGATTTTGGTAGTGAAATTCACCTTTGGCTTCTCACAGCAGAAGTGGAATGTAGGCAAGTTTTCTATGCAGTTTTCTATTTCTTTTTTTAATAATTCAGGGTTCACTTTTTCTCTCTTACATCCAAACACTTCTTTGCTCTTATCATCCACCCCGATAATTAGGTATCCCCCATGGGTGTTGGCAAATGCAGAAACATAATGGGGCAGCATTTCTTTAATCCGAGGGATGATCTTTTTGGTGGTGAACCTTTTAAGCTCGACATGTGTGGACTCACTGAAGTCGAGTTTCTCCTTATAGATGAGTTTATCTTTTTTAACAAATTCTGAGGCACACATCCTCGTATCTTCCTCTTCCTGAATGTATTTGTCAAGAGCTTTCTGAGAATGCAGCTCCTGCACCTTTGATCTTCCTCTTTGAGCTCTGGACTGCTTCTCTCGGAGGAGCTCCAGGGCACTGCTGGCACTCAAGTTGACGGTGGAAGTCACAGCTCTCTGAAACAAATTGGAGCGCAAGCTGCAAATCCTTAGCGGGAGGCTGAAGACATCTGGGCTCCAGGACTTCACAAAAATCATAAGATTGTGCCCCTGCTGCATGTAGTCAAGGTATTTCTGTGAACCTGAAGGAAGGAGCTTTTGAAAAGACGTTTCCAGGTCCTGTCCCAGCCCATGGAATCGGTAACTGTAGGTTTTATCATCAATCTCTGCTTTGATCACACCCCCTCCAGAATTTAACAGTGCACATGTCGCTTGGATGATTTTAGAATTCTCAGTTCTTTTCAAATAGCTATTGGTCATCTTCTTCCTTTTTTCTTCTCCAAGAGTGACTTTGCCCACTTCTACAATTATCTCGGGATAGAGCATTTCCGTATCCATCTTGAGACTCTCCATCTCAGCAGCCCTTCTGTGCCCCAAACAATGACAGAAAGGGGTTCCAATAAATAATTAGGACAGAAATGTTGCTTCTACGTTAACAAGAATTACAGAGATTACAAAATTTTCTTCAAAGCTATAGATTATTGGAGATACATTTTAACATTGGAAATCATCTTTGATATTACTGTTTTCTCACAACTTTGCCAAGACCTTTAGCCTTCACAGCATGAACAGGAATAGATAAACTGAATGCTTAATATTTTACCATAATGGAAAAATTGCTGAACTTTTAGCCATTTTTCATTTAAAATCAGGAAGCACCAACAGTGAGCCCAGATATAAGGGGCATGGGTTGGCACAGGAGCCAAAGCAAATTACACAGAAGTAGTAGTTGCCATCAGAAGATGCCTCTATTTATAATTCAGAGGGGAAAGAAGAGAAGACAACAAAGAACCAAGGGAGTATAGCTTTGGAGTATATTTGATGTAGAAGATCTGGCTATAAAAACAAGCATAAAACTTGGTATTCTTCATGTGCTATTTTATACATTTTAAAAAGTCTTATTCTACTCCTGAAAGAATAACAATTGATACCAAATGCAGAAATCTTTTAAGCTCTTCAGGCATTCTTCTAAAAGTACATTTCTTATACAGTGGGATGCAGGAACAGGAGTTTTCCATCCCTCCTAATAGTTCTGCCTGTGCTGTGGGAACCCCTAAGACTGGGGAATGGACATGAGCCTTTGAGACATAGATATTAAACTGTGGTCAACCTCCTTCTGCTTCCCAGACCAGAAAACAGCCACCTACATTGAAGTTAGCACCTGGAAGCAGATGGTTCAGAGACAGCCCCCTTAGTCTTTGTTAACTGCAAAATAAAATATTTACTAACCCAAACCCAAATTCTTCCTCTAGAAGAAGGAAACCCATTTTTTTTCTGTGTGATCTCTGCTAAGCAGAGGCCAGGTGGGTGTTGTTTATATCCACCAGGAGGGAAAAAAGCAGGCATCCAGCAGGATGGGTCCTCTCCTCTGCTGTTAGCTTGCCTTGGTTGCCTTCTCACTTCCTCCAGGCAAACCAAAATCAACCTGATGAATTGTTTTTTCATAGGTGAGCATCTCCTATAGGCAAATGTAAATGTTTGGCTCTTAGAGAAATTTCTGATAAGTTTCTATTATATCATAGAATCACCGAAGTGTTGGAAGGGACTTTAAAGATCTGGTCCAACCATCTACCTTAAATACTCTCTGTAACAGGGGTCCCCAACCCCTGGGCTGCGGCCTGTTAGGAACAGGGCCGCACAGCAGGAGGTGAGCGGCGGCGAGCTAGGGAAGCTTCACCTGCCGCTCCCTATAGCTCCCCATCACTCGCATTACTGCCCGAACCACCCCTCCCCCTCCCCCTCCCCCCTCCCCAGTCTGTGGAAAAATTGTCTTCCATGAAACCGGTCCCTGGTGCCAAAAATGTTGGGGACCAATGCTCTATAATACTAGCAACTCTGAACAAATTGCTTTCCAGCAACTGCTTGAACACCGCCAATAACAACGAACTCATTATCTCTCAAATTAGTCCCCGTCTATTTTCTGACAGCTCTGTTAGAACTAGCTTCCTGGGCTTCCCTGGTGGCGCAGTGGTTGAGAATCCGCCTGCCGATGCAGGGGACACCCCGGTCCGGGAGGATCCCACATGCCGCGGAGCGTCTGGGCCCGTGAGCCATGGCCGCTGGGCCTGCGCGTTCGGAGCCTGTGCTCCGCAACGGGAGGGGCACAGCAGCGAGAGGGCCGCGTACCGCAGAAAGAAAAAAAAAGAAATAGCTTCCTTATTTTCAGCTATAATTTGTCTCCCTATAACTTCCACCTGCTGGGACTCACAAACAAATCTAATTGCTTTTGAACTAGCAGAACTATACTCTCATGACTCCCAAGGCTCATTGATGTTACTTGGTTGCTGATGACAACCATGATAGATACAAAGTTTTCTGGGAGTCTAGCTCCATATGAACATCTGCTCCACATTTCCCCAAACTTCTCACTCATTCTCCTTTACAAGCTGCTCCTGAGCTATGATTTTACTAAGCTCTTCATGCTTTCAGACATAAACTGAGAGGAATGAGATTTTTTAAAAAAATTTTTTTTTTTTTTTACCTGATGCTCTTGCTTTTCCTCTTGTTGCTTCAGTTCCACATCTGGCTTTGGTCTGAATGTTTGCCTTCTGTCACAGCC